TCAAAATTTGTTGAGTGACAGACCTATTTTTTGAATGTCTGGTGTTTAGTTCAAAATCGATCGTTTTGCAAAAGTACAAACGGGGACTATTACAATTTCAATGACATATTTGTTATTCCAGCAATATTTTAAGATTCGATCTCAGACCATCGCACAATGGAAAGAAAATGGAGAGAATCCTTATCCACATAAATTCCACGTTTCTATATCACTAGCTGCGTTTCTAGACAAGTATAACCATCTAAAAGCTGAGGAAAAGCTTCAAGATGAGGTCACAGTGGCAGGTAAGAACAATTGTATAGAAAAACTTGTTTGACCCTTGTGTGTATGTTTAGGCACGCATAAGAAGTTTATTTATTTCTCTACAAAACCGAGTATTGTAATATGATTAATACAGTTCTGAAAACTAGCGATGACTAATAGCAGAAATTCGGTACAGACATTATACATGTTAGGATACATGTCCATGACAATTAGTTTCACAATTAGATCAAAGATGGTTGACTGCCTGCAAACTTGCTTTTTGACCATTTCTTTATATCTCTGTATAAAAACCTGGACAAATGAAATTCAGTTTGGATACAAAACGTGCAATTTGTTCAATTTCTGACCATATAATGATTTTAATACATTTCTGTTTCTGTTGCTACTAGACCACCCAATTATTCGCTCTAAATTATTAACTATGCTTTTGGTGCATATTTATTTTTGGCATGAATAACATTTCCCCTAATTCCAACGGGGACTATGTCATTAACAATGACTTGTTTTTTAATGCCTCTCTTTAGCAGTCACCATGGTGACTCACTTAATTTTTGGAATTCCATTGAGTCTCAAGATTCCTATAAAAATCAGTCCTGTTGAGGGCGCACTACTAGTAACACTGTTTTTGTTTACACAGGAAGAGTTCATGCAAAAAGGTTATCCGGAGCTAAACTTATTTTCTACGATCTCAGGGCAGAAGGTGTCAAGTTACAGATTATGGCTAATGCCAGGTAAAAAATATAGTATGAAATCAAAAAGTATGGTCTTTCATATCAAAATGTTAATTAATGATGTCATGTGATCCCCAAACGACGCATTAAACACCTAAATCAACTGTAGTCACCATTCACAATTTTTCTCAACAAATTTCAATGATTTTGATTAAGACCTTGACAATGAGAAATTATGTCCATTTAGTCCAAAATGAACCCCCCAAAAAAAAATAATAGAAAAATGCATAAAAATGTGCAAAATATAGCATCTTAATTTGAGCGGGAAAAAATATGGTGTTCAATGGGTGGTAGTTGTACATTGTGATCAATAGATTGTGTTGAATGACTACCATGTGACATACGATGTGTGCGAAATATACATTGTTTGTTTACACAAATTCAAAAGTTTACTGTACGACAATGACAGTACCGTAAAAACTCTAAAATTTTGACCGCTCTAGAAATTCGTTCCCCTCGATTTTTTTGGAGAGTTTCCGTCATTTTTTCGACCTCCGAGATTTCGACCCTGCCCGGGAATTCCGTTTTTTCCGACTCTGAAAATTCGACCGAACTTTCATATCCCAGAGCTCTTGGTAATTCGCACCAACCCTGTCAGATTACGAGTTTCTGTACTCCTGTACTCGTCGAGTGTGAGCGAGGTCGAGGTCAGGTTTGCTTCCGCGTAATTTGCATGAACTAAAAATAACATTTAAGTCACATGTATTTATTATTATCTCTATGAAATTTATATAAAAAAACATCAGAGTTTGTATTTGCTTTTGAAAAAAGGTCGATTCGAATAAACCATCACAGTCTGTATTAGCTTTTAAAAAGGTCGATCCAGAATAAAACCGGACGCAACGTTTTTGCCGGTCGTTGAGAAAAACAATTTGCATATAAAGCAAAGGACAGCCCCCATTGCGTGAATCCGGTTCTGTGATTGCTTAGACGCTTGACTCGTGTCACTGTGGGGCCCCAGTGAGGTGTTTACAATAAACGTGTCTGTGTGACAAGTAGACCTACAATAAAATAGAAAATAAGTCAAAATTTACAGACATGGGCGACCGAAGAGTACAGTATGATTATTACTAGAACGAGTACAGAAATTTCTCAAATGTAAGCAGAATGTCTTCGCAGGGAGCTGTAATGAGCGGGGTGTCTGTTTCCCGGAGTACGTTTTTACATCGGCCATGGAGGTAAAAAGAGATTTACCTCCATGCATCCGCCAAGCTCCCATGCATTTTAAACACATAAATTGAGTAGGTAAATAAGACGGAAACTAAGCTCGCAAGCTCCCAACTTTAACACTTATTTAACTTCCTGGTTTGCGTATTTTGAAGCGACGTAGGCCTATTCGCACTTTATTTTCCCCCATGTAGACACCGCCA